CTACTCAAATTCTACCAAATTTCAGATATGTATTACCTCTCACCCTCCCCTGACAATGCCTTCATCTGCTATTCGCAGAAGGGTGGCACCATCTTTGTTCAGGTATCATCCAAGGTAATCATCTACTTCCTGGACTGAGATGCTGGCTCAGAGATGACACGACCATGTAAATGCTTGTGCCTGTGCAGTTCTTGGATTTGTTTACAAGTGACCACAGCATCGTGTTATATGACTCAGTGCATTGCGTTACCTTAGTGCATTGGGATGCCATCTGAAATGAATGGTAACCCAACTCAGCAATGAGCATGTGTTGCCATGCGTTGTGGTAGCATATGCGTTCACTTAATGCCAAAGTGTACTGATAAAAGTACAGGGCCTCACACACTTCATCACTTAAAACAAATGGCAAAATCAGCAGGTGGAAATAAAAGAAACAAGAAAAATAATGCAGCACCCACATCTAAGGGCCCGATCGTACATGCCACCACATCTAAGGGCCCGATTGTACATGCCATCACATCTAAGGGCCCGATCGTACATGCCACCACATCTAAGGGCCCAATCGCACATGCCATCACATCTAAGGGCCCGATTGCAAATACCGCCACATCTAAGGGCCGGCTCACACCAGCAGTCACATGTAATGGTTGTGTTGTTACAATGTATATCAGTTTATTCTTTTAATCTTTATTTGTTAAAAAGATGTAATTGAACCCTATGCACAGCAGTACATTGTGACCGTAGCACATTTTTGTGTGTCTGCATTATCATGCAATGCACCTGTATGGTGTGAACGTGGCACATAGAGAACTTTTTTCCTCCAGTGCGCTTGCCTTGAACCTGCGTTAATCAATGCAGCTCAACACGGCTGGTGTGAATGAGCCCCGAGGACATGTGAGCTGCTGAATATAACATTTTTGTTTTTGGGTTTAGATATGCTTTAGGACTCATGCATATGGCTGCTGGGGGCTGCACAATGTAAAATGTGGCCGTATTTCCCAGCTCGCGAGCCAACGGTGCTGTATGCACCTGTCCTTAGAAATCAATGGCTGTATGCAGGTATATGTTTGTACTTGAATAAAAACGTGCATGAGCATGGACATACTGCATACGTCTGTGGCAGCACCTGTTGCTGCCCGTATACCTAAATTTTATGTTGTACGACCCCGGCAGCCATGTGCATGAGCCCTTAATGTCACTACCTGTAGCAACCAGTTGGGTTAGCATTGTCCATTCTGCCATCATCAGCGGTGTAGCTCTGAGCCCAGGAAGGGGTTAACTAGAATGGCAGTCACACTCATTAGCAGACAGTGAAAAGCTTCTTCCTATGAATGTGGAATACATTGCAGAACAGCAGCTGCACCACTCCACTCCCCACCCCATCCATGCAAATACACCCTGCCAGCTTTTCTTAAAGATACAGAGTCAAATTAGAGAGGGAGAAAAAGGAAAACACAGGAATGCAATTGCCATGACATCACTAATACCCATGTCAGCTATGCAATCTGCTTTATTGACTATTGACTTTTTGAGGAGTATTGACACAAGACTTTCATGTGTGTGTATCCGCTGCTCAGCTTGGGCGTGAAGGATTTGATATTAATTGTGCAGGAGACGATGCAGGCAGAATCATTCGAGGGCTGGCGTCGCTGCATGCTGCAGGCTTTTCATGACACATAATGCTATTTATGCCATTCCCAGGACAGTGTCTATTCCAGCAGAGGTGAGTGTGGTCCCCGTGCACTCCTGTGTGTCCGTCTCTCTTATGTGTTCATACAGGGTCAGTCCATCCACAACTGATATGTGATTTATCAATGGATTGGATCACCCACTTGACTCTATGCTTTTCAGTATCCCATTAACATGACTTACTTAACCTTCCAGAATTTATGGACTCTCATTTATTTGATGGCATGGGGAGTCTACAAGTCATGACACATGGGCAGAGCTGGGAACTCAAGTGCAGAGCTCTAACTATGAGAATCCTTGGACTCCGATGCTTCAGCTTTGGGTAGAATTGCACTTTAAGATTGGGGGAAGGAATCCAGGTCTAAAATGGGGTGATGATATCACCCCCATGACCCTCAATGTTATTCCTTTTGGTTTGCAAGGCCACTGGTGGCATGCTTGCCATGGAATCCATCTGACATCCCTTCATGTTGGAGAATATCTCTGTTTATTCCCATTATTGTGCCACGTCCCCTCAATATATGATCATCACAAACAATGGTAAATTGTTGGCAGCTATGAATATGATAAAGCTCGTCTGTTAGCCTCCATTCGCACCTGAGCAATTTGAAGTGCGCTTACACAAGCTCTGTAGCACTCAACACTCAGATTTCCATGTTATTTTACCATTAGAATGCCATGTTGTGTTTTTCAGGTGATATCATCTAACTTGTATAATTTTATAATTTTTCAGCATTCACTGTTTTTGTATTGTTTCATTATTTAGTTTATATTTGTAGGTTTCTCTATTATTCAAGTATTTATGTATACCTAATATTACCTGGTTTCCAAGTTCCCTATTAGACATATCATCCCACAGCCTCCACCTCATGTCCCATAGAATGTCCCCTATGGCAGGAGTCAGTAGACAAGTTGCTACTGTAAGCAACACATGAAACACACGGCTTTAAGTCTATATCAGGGAAAGCATCCCCACAATTTTCCAGGAATGGTACTACGGTTATACCAATATAAAAGACATGGGGGCTGATTTATAAATCTTTCATCCAGCATATGGCTGGGCGAATGCCGTTCGCACTCCACTACCACCATTAGAAGCGCCATCTAGTGGTGGTAGTGCATTTGCCCAGCTGTAACATTTGTTTAACTTTTTTATTGGTAATGGGGCCAAATCCAAGATGTTTTCAACCATCTTGTCAAGTCTCTGATGGCATTATGGAATATTCTGACGAGATTTTTCTCATGAACGTTCATACGCACAACTACCAGTGCATGGCCAGCTTTAGTCCAAGTCCATCCACGTTAATAAGCAGTAAAATTCACTTCTGCTTACCAAGTGCCCAGTCTGTTGTTTTGGAGCATGCTTTTTAAAGGACGTCTATAAGTTTACACAATAGCGCAGCCCAGCCATTGTCTAAGGAGCGGACTGCAATTACACAAATCTGTAGATTCCAGGAAGGACCTGGAGTGTTTATAAACCCTTTAGAATAGAAGGAGCGGGGATTAGACAGCTATGGAGACCTGTAAGTGGAGAGATTGGGAGTTGCATCTTTTGTCAGCAGAAGATTTGTCCAGTCTCGACCGGTGTCTGAAAACACAGATTTGGTTGTGTACTGGGGCGAGGAACTCAAAATCCTTCCAAATCATCCATATCAATACTTGCCCATCTTTTGTTTAATGTGGATTTGGTCTTTTCTGTATATTTTTAGCAAAGCCATTTTTGCACCAGGAAAACTCTACCCGGGGATGGGGATTTGTCTCTTTTGAGTTACAACCAACCTTTTTGCTGGTCTTTTTTTCCATCGTCAGATGTTTGGACAAACTAGACATGTTCATTTATTGCACCTGGAAGAACTGTTCCATTGTTTTCCTGGCGCCATCACATGAGTATTATCCAAGCGCACAATTTTCTCGGTAGAGGGACCTGTTTGTCTCGGTAGAACGATTGTTGATACGAGAGCGTGGCAACACTTCTGCCGAGCCCAGGCTAATGCCTGTTGGATAGTTGTATATCATGATCATTTTTGTATGCATATTAGCCCTAAATCATTAGCCTTATACCATGATCATCCTTTTATGTGTATTAGGCTTACATCATTAGCTTTATACCATGATCATCTACGTATGTGTATTAGGCTTATACCATGATCATCTCCGTATGTGTATTAACCTTATACCATGATCATGTTCGTATGTGTATTAGCCTTATACCATGACCATCTTCGTATGTGTATTAGGCTTATATCATTAGCTTTATACCATGATCATGTTTGTATGTGTATTAGCCTTATACCATGATCATGTTTGTATGTGTATTAGCCTTATACCATGATCATCTTCGTATGTGTATTAGCCTTATATCATGATCATCTTGTATGTTTATTAGGCTTATATCATTAGCTTTATATCATGATCATCTTTGTATGTGTTGCTACTATATATTGCTACTATATAAATTATTATTATACAGGATTTATATAGCGCCAACCATTTGCACAGCACTTTACAAAATATGAGGAGACAGTACAGTTACAATACAATTCCATACAAAAGGGTTAGAAGGGCTCATGAGATCTTACAATCTGCAAAATAAAGAATAACAAATAAAAATTATGTAGTGTTGACACATTCCCAGATTTGCAAAAAAAAACATTGATCCATCGAAATCTGTCCCTGCCCCAGAGTGTATCTGCAACGTAGCACCTCTTTGACAACCAGGGCCAGTTTGTGCTGAAGTCAGTTGGTATATTTTTGATATGAAGCCAATACAGAGATGGGGAGTGCTTACAAACTCCATGGAAATGGTTCCTTGATGGGGATCAAACCCAGCACGTCAGCACTGTAAGATAGTAATGCTAAATTGCTATCCACCGTGCCATTGTGTCCATCGCCATGTTGCCTCACTAAGTACTGAACCACTGGCTATACTGTATACAACCGTAAGCATTGTATGTTGGCTTTTATCACCAAGAACAAAGCACTAGAAGTTCTCAGCATGGGCTTTAGGCACTGAGCCCTGACCCCTTACCTAACCTAGCCCTTAATCTTACCCTAACGCTTGCCTTTAAGGGCAACCTAACACTTAACCCCCATCAATCATAAGCTTAGCCTGACCTTAACACTAACCTAACACTAATGATTCTAACTAACCTTGTCTGGTGCTGGAAGTTTTGGGCTGTCTTGACTCAAATCTATGCTGAAAGTTCTCTGATCTACAAAGCTGAGAATGACGGATTAGCAGAAAGTACCATATGAAGGTGAAGTGATCTATATGGATAGTAACCTGGTCTGTATGCTCTCTTTGTTTTTAGGCTCCTGGCAGAAGAAGGAAGAACATGACTGAATTCCTCGGGGATGCAACTATCCCTGTTCAAGAATCTCTCCAGAACATCAGCGGTTCTCTGCCCAACAACGGCAACGACACGTGGAAGAACCGGGCCGCCAGCCGCTTCAGCGGCTTCTTTGGAGCTGGCATAACTGGGCCATTTGGAAAGGTAGCGATAAGTTGAACAAACTTTGTGTCAGTAACTGTCAAATGTACACACACTCAACATGTCTTAACAGACACATAGAAAAGAAAAGGATAGGGCATGGGCTCTAAAAGCACACAAATACATGCGCAAGTGAATGTGCTGTAAGCCATCTGCACATCCTCATTTTTACCCCCTGAGGGTCTTTTCCTGACCTGCCCCTTTCTCCGTGCATAAGGAAAAATTGGCATTTGGTCGTATGAGCATCAAATGCGTCCATGATCTTCATCATTGTAGACCCCTGCATGACCTTATAGCCATCCCATTGTCATAAGCGATGCTGAAAGCTATTGCACTGTTGCTTTTATTATCAATAGAGAATGACCAAGTGGCCCCTGTGTAATGTATATGCCCCCATATAACTAAAATTATTTATTCACTGCACAATGATTGACAGCTGGATTGAAGTGGGCTGTGTCCAAGTCTACAAGACAGTGGAAGGGGTCCTTGCACCCTTCTAGTATGAATTGGCCCCCAAGTCCCCGAGGGCCTTTGTGTAGCTGCACAGTCTGCACAAATGGCACTTGGCTTCTGGTTATCAGTCTTTATTGGGAAGTCGCCATGCTAAAGAACTGTACTATGTACACTGACACCCTACCTGCCCTTATGTGCATGGCTGATGCCTGAATATTTATATGTGTAGTGTAGCATCCTTGTAACGTGCAATTGCATACACAACATCACAGACTTCACTCATTCCCATTTACAGGGATATGCAGGGCCAGTTTTCTTTGCCCCTCAGTCTTTGTTAGTTTAAGGCGGAATTCCCATTGTCATTTCACTTGTTTTCACCTTCTTAATGTGGCCGCAGGTAATGTGTGTCAGGACCCATTGCTATGCTAAGATGGTCTTTAGCAAAGACAGTAGAAAAAGTGTCGCCAATAGGGATTGGTAATGGACAGAATTAGAAGCAGACGTTGAATTAATTGAAGTGGTTGTTTAAACACGTTTTGACAGGGTGAAGTTTCGTACGAAACCAGTCAGGGGTCAGCTAGAAGGCCACTTTTAATGAGGAGCTGTCATTTAAAACAAACACCGCTATGGTTTTCATAATTGTCTTTATGTTTTCTCTATATGTTTGTTCCACCAGTTGGCAATTTCATGCAGTTTAAAAAAATTAAATACACATCATGTTGTGTTTAATGGTTCAGTGTGACTACAAATGACAGCATTCCCTTCTAGGTTTTAGAGGGCTGAGTTTGTGATGGATCAAGGTCCAATGAGTCATTTTAGCTCAGGAACAAGTCTCAGCATGCTTTGCTAGGACACGGGTGAGGAGGACTCGCTGGGACTTGCAACGACTTCCATCTGCTCTGCCCAGTGCAGTGCAAAAGTGCTCTGGGGCCAGTGAAATGCCCATATATTGGCAAGTGCATTTTTTTTTCATGCACGTCAACAAACAAAAACACGGCCCTGAGTGGTCCATAGTTCCTCTATACACTCAACATATTATCTCTGAAAAGACCACGTCTACCGTGTCATATATTTCCCATCTTGAGCCCATCAACGGGCCCCTGGGTCTACAAGAAGGGCCCCCACTTCTACCCTTAAGGGACTTGACCCTTTATCATTTTGAGCAATATCTTGCAATCCCATGGCAGCCATTTGCTTGGAATGGCGGGATCTGAGCTCAGCAAACTGTAACATACGGGTTCAGCAATTTATGTCACGTGATGATATAAAATAGAACAGAACTGAGAATGATTTTTGAAGCCTGAAGTAAAGGAAAAGGAAGGCTGTTCCCATAGCAACCGATTGGCTGTCACGCGCCGACAATGCGAATCGTGGATTCCGATCGATTTCTATGGGCGACAGTTTATATTTCTGTCCATCGGTTTTCATAAACAGAACAGAC